TGAAATGCAGATCGAGGCAATCCCAAATGAGAAGGCTCATGATCCAGAGACCTCCCTGAACGTCACCGGTGTCCGCCCTCCAAAGCTGGCTGAAGTCTTCAGGTGGACCGAAGCATGGATGCCCTCTTAGGGATGTTCTCTCTCTCATGCACTCGCTCATGGGAAAAAAATAAACAAACAAACAAAAACAAGTCTAAGAATATATGAGTTCATAACAAGCAGTGGATTAGTATCATTAAAAGCCTACCATGTGGGAGCAGCAGGTGGCATAATAGTTACGTTGCTTGACTCCCACATAATCAACCACAGTTCGAGTCCCAGACCCGGTGGCTTAAAACACACTGGGCACGTGTGCATGCATGCCCAAAATCCTGAGAGGAGAATGGAGGAGAAGGGGTTGTGGCATGGCCATCCCCCCGCCCCCCGAGAGTGATTTCTCACTTTCTGTCTCTATCTCTTTAGTGATTGTAAACACCCTACAGCAAAAATGTCTCTAAAGAAAAAAAAAAGCCTACAGTGTACCATATTTTATATCTGATACATACTATCACAGATAATCCTCACAGCAGTCCTGCAAGCTAGATACTGTTATTATCCCTCTTTTAAAACGCTGAAACAAAGGCTCTAAGTTTAAGAGGTTTAGCTAATATTTTAGAGTCAGTACACCACAGAATCAGGACCCAGAGCAAAAAGACATACTGGACAGAGTGGAAAGTGTGTGGCCCATGTGGGTTCAGGGTCCCATTGGGCTACTCACTCAGCCTGGGACCTTAGCCAAACTGGTTAATATTCTCAGTTTCCCTAGAACTGGACTGTTCTGTAATGCCTTTAGCCTGCAGTTAGTGTTGACATAAGGAACAATCCTAAGAATCAAGACGGAGCCCATCAGAAGGGTGTTGTTGAGGACATGTTGAACAGTTCACAGTTGTCTTATTTATGAGGGCATCTGAAAGAATCTGCTGTTTGATCTGGATTCCAAGGACAATGTATTCCTGAGCAATGTGTTTACCATCCTACGGCTCTTAACCGATCATCTTTTCTTTTTAGCATTGGCTCCTGAAAAACTCAAGAGTCAAGTTGAAGGCCCACATGTAGAGGAAAAAAAAAAATTTTTTTTTTTGAGAGGTTTTTGCTATAGGGCGGTCATGCTCGCCAGACAGACAGAGAGAGACAGAGAAACAGAAAGTGAGAAATCATCCCCGAGGGGGGATGGCCATGCCACAATCCTTTCTCCTCCATTCTTCTCTTGGGATCTTGGGCACGCACGCACACGCGCCTGACGTGAGTTTTAAGCCACCGGGTCTGGAACTCGAACTGCGGTCGACTACATTGAAGTCCAGTGACACAGCCGTTATGCTAACTGCTGGTCCCTAGAGGAAGAATTTGGACTTTTAGGATAGGCATGTTTTGCTTTATTCCTGATTGTGCTTTTGCCTCTATTGTTTTTCTTCTTTTACTCCCATTTTCACAAATCTTCTTGAATCTTCAGTATTTCTTTTATTTTTAAGAATTATCTATTTAATTCCATGTGTTGTTATTATTTTTAATTTGATCAGAGGGAGACAGAGGGAGAGAGGGAGAGGGAAAGCAAGAAAGCAAGCAGCCAGGTCCGGTACTCAAACTGCGGTCAGCCATGTGGTAATCCAGCGCCTTTGATCACCACGCCTCCTTCAGTATTTCTACACGCTACTTTGAACCCTTCAGATATAATCCTCATTTCCTTGTCTATGGACTGGAAATGTTTCTCCTAAGGGTGTCTGTAAAGCACTTAGCACAGTGCTTAGACTATAGTAGACACTCAGTAAATGGTATCTCCTTTCATGCTCTTTCTTATAATGAATCTTTGTCACTTCATTAAAAAAAAGACATATTTGCATTGCAAAAGATTCTTCAGTTTACAAAAGGGCTTCACCACAGGGGTTTTTTTTGTTTGTTTGCTTTTAATAATAAACCAATGTATTTATTTATTAACATAGTTTTTTTTTTTGGAGAGATTTTCACTATAGGGCGCGTGCGCTCGCCAGACAGACAGAGAGAGACATAGAGACAGAAAGCAAGAAATCACCCCCCAGGGGGATGGTCACTCTGCAATCCCTTCTCCTCCATTCTCCTCCCGGGATCTTGGGCACACATGCACAGGTGCCCGGCGTGAGTTTTAAGCCACTGGGTCCAGGACGCGAACTGCAGTCGACTACATGGGAGTCCAGCAACATAGCCATTACGCTAACTGCTGGTTCCCTTTTTTTGTTTTTGTTTTTTACATAGTTAAGGTCTAGATTTTTGATGTTTATTTTTTGAGTTTGCTACAGGATATATGTGCTCACCAGAGAGAGACAGAGAGGGAGGAAGCACTTTCCAATGCAACACGGCTAGGCCAGTGCCCTTCTCCATTTCTCCATCCAGTTGGGAGACAGGGAACGCACATGCACCCAATGCGTTTCTCAGTCCTCCAGGGCCGAGATTTGAACTGTTCGACCATGTGGGATTCGGTTCCCTCAACAGCTAGGGCACAGAGCTGGTCCAACCGATATTTTAAAAATAGGATTCTGTTTCCACATTCCTTTAAGAGTATTCTTTACTGAGTCTCCATCAACATAATTGACACAGTGCTGATGCACCAGCTCTGCTTCCTCCTGCCTCTGTGCATGGATGAAGCTGCTCTCCTGGCATGGAATGGACTGAACTTTTTAATTTTTTTTTTTTTTAAGTTTTGCTATAGGGAGCATGCACTCACCAGAAAGAGATAGGGAGAGAAAGAAAGTGTGAAATCACCCCCAAGGGGGATGGTCATGCTGCAATCCCTCCTGCTCCATTCTCCTCTTGGGATTCCAGGCACCCATGCACACGTGACCCAGCATGTCTCTCAAGCCACTGGGTTCAAAACTCCCACTACGTGGGATCCAGCTGCCTTAACCACTGTACCACCTGGCTAACCTCTGAACTTCTAAAATAAAAACCTTCCCTTTATTTTCCCAGAGGAATGTTAGGATAGAAATAGTCTGCTGCAGATGATTCAGCATGAGAAGACCCAAGTTTCCTCTTTACTTCACCTTAAAAATGGCCTCTCTTGGGACCAGCAGTTGGCGTAATGGCTAGGTCACTGGACTCCCACATAGTCGACTGCTGTTCGAGTCCCAGACCTAGTGACTTAAATTCACACCGGGCGCATGTGCATGTGTGCCCAATATCCTGAGAGGAGAATGGAGGAGAAGGGATTGTGGTGTGGCCATCCCCCCTGGGGATGATTTCTTGCTTTCTGTCTCTATGTCTCTCTCTGTCTTTATAGCGAGCGCACGCGCCCTACAGCAAAAACCTCTCAAAAAAAAATGGCCTCTTTTAACCAATTCTTCAGTTTTCCATGTGCCTGAAAGGGGATGTTGCATCCTAGTCACTCTGCCTTCTAAAACAGGCTGTTACTTTCAATACGTTAACATACTTTGAAATTTATCAGAAATCAATTGTCCAATGAGTTTATTATTGCTATTAGTGGTGTCTTCAATTGTCTTTTTTCTTTTTTCCTTTTAATTCTAACCATCTCATAAAATTCTAAGCATCCTGAGGGCTTTTCATTTTGTTAGGCTTTTTTTTTTTCTCTAGTGTCTACTGCTTTCAAGGTAGCCAATTAAAAAGCAAATAAGTGGAATTAATAATATGTATGGACTAGGCCACCATCCAGGTCACTGTCTAATAATCTTCATAAAGGCCTGGCCAGGCCGAGCCCAATAATCTACTTAAGTTTGCTTAAAGCACTTTGTTGGATCCTTAACACCTGTTGAGTGTTGAAAAGTTAATCTGGGGACCAGCAGTTAGCGTAATGGCTATGTCGCTGGACTCCTACGTAGTCAACTATGGTTCGCGTCCCAGACTCGGTGGCTTAAAACTCACGCCGGGCGCGTGTGCGTGCGTGCCTAAGATCCCGATAGGAGAATGGAGGAGAAGGGATTGTGGCGTGACCATCCCCCCTGGGGGGGGATTTCTTGCTTTCTCTCTGTCTCTCTCTGTCTGTCTGGCGAGCACACACGCCCTATAGCAAAAACCTCTCCAAAAAAAAGAAAAAAAAAAGTTAATCTGCAGTTCCTGTCTGGGCTAACTTTGACCTCCTGCAAGTCTTGCTTTGTCCTCCCTTCCTCCCATCCTTCTTTCTTTTCCTCCTATCTTCCTTTCCTTTTTTTTTTTTTTATTTTTAATTTCTCATTGACTCTTTTGGTCACCAGTCTCTGCTCTAAGCTCTGGAGACAATAGTGGGCAGTATAGACAAGGCCCCTGTCCTCATGGAGCTTACACTCTGGTGGGGATAAGTGTTCATCAGATCGCCTTCCCTGAGGGCTGCAAGATTACAAGCCACAGCAGGCACCATGAAGGCCCACCGTGCAGTGAGAGAACTGACCTAGTTTGGGGCGAGGAGACAGCCCTGCGGGTTGAGACAGGGAGAATAAGAGGATACAGAGGAAAGCGTGAGGACACCATGCAGCAGAAATAGCATGTGCAAAGGCCCTGCGGTGTTGGGAGTCTTGGTTCTCTGGGGAAGAATGAAAGCTACTGTAACTGGACCAGACGGAACAAAGACAGTGGGTGAGAGACACCTCTGGCAAGGCCAGCAGAGCCAGAGACATCTGTGTCGTAAACATTTTGCCCTTCAGCTGAAAAGCAAATGGGGGGGGACCAGCAGTTAGCGTAATGGCTATGTCACTGGACTCCCACGTAGTCGACCGCAGTTCGCGTCCCAGACCCGGTGGCTAAAACACCAGGCGCATGTGCATGCGTGCCCAAGATCCCGAGAGGAGAATGGAGGAGAAGGGATTGCGGCGTGACCATCCCCCCCTGGGGGGTGATTTCTCACTTTCTGTCTCTCTGTCTCTCTCTGTCTGTCTGGTGAGCGTACACGCCCTATAGCAAAAACCTCTGAAAAGAAAAAAAAAAAAAAAACAAATGGGAAGCCACTGAAGCGTTCTCAGGAAGAACTGTGTGGGTGACACACACGTGTTACTTTGTCTCTGCAGGAGCGATGCAGTCATACACGTGGTCTCTGACCTACACAGTGACGACGGCTGCTGGGTCCCCAGCTGAAAACCCCCAGCAGCTGCCCTGTATGAGAAGTACCCACGGGCCTTCTTCCTCCGTCACACACAGAATACCAGTTTACCCGCACAGAGAGGAGCACGGGTAGGTTACTTCCCCGGGTGCTGCCTTCCTCTTAAATCTGACTTGAAGAGGGTGTCTGAGCGGCCGTGTCAGTTCTCAGGGTGCTCGACACCACGCCGCATGTTGGTCTCACGTAATCCCTGCAACCAGCGGGTGAGGTCGGTGACAAGGTGTTAGTGACCCTGTCGTACAGAGGAGGAAATTGAGACTTGGCTGATGAACTTCACTTCCCCGAAGCCACACACGCAGCTCGCAAATGGGGGGGGGGGGGCCCAGACTGAACATCTGTCTAAAGCCTGTGTTCTTCGCTCTTTACTCTTTAAAGCCTCAGCTGAAAACCCCCTTCAGCAGTGCCCTGGGTGGCTCTGTACACACCGTAGGCTTACAAAGCCTCACGGTAGGTGCATGTCTTTTCTGACTCTGAAGAGGAGGGCTTCCTCACCGAGGGCCAGAGCTCCCTGGAAAGCTGTGGTTTGCTCAAGGGGCTCGTGGGGTGCCTGTGGGGTCCAGTAGTGCTTTCTAATCTGGATAAATACATCTTTTGCCTTGCCCCTATTTTTTCGAATCTGTGTAGTGATGGTTCTGTGATGAATAAACAACAAACCCATCCGAAAGCGTTACTACCTAAATCATAGTCTCTTTTTGCCAGTGTGTGTTGTCTTTATCAAAAGATACTAGCCTTATGGTGTCTAATGAGCAGAGTTCTGCAAACCACCTATGGTCTTAATAAGATGCTACCAGGACCAGCAGATGGTATAATGGTTACATTGCTGGACTCCCACGTATTCGAACATGGTTCAAGTCCCAGACCCAGTGCCTTAAAACTCATGCTGGACACGTGTGCGTGCATGTCTAAAATCCTGAGAAGAGGACCAAGAAGGGATTGTGGTGTGGCCATGCCCCCTGGGGAGTGATTTCTCGCTTTCCATCTCTCTGTCTCTCCAGCGAGTGCACACACTGTGTAGCAAAAAAATAAATAAATAAATAAAAGACCAACAACAACAACAAAAAAAACAAAAACAACTCGCTCCAGGTGCGTGTATGTGCATGCCCAAAATTCCAAGAGGAGAATGGAATGTAGTGTGACCATCCTCCCCCCCCCCGCCCCGGGGGGGTGATTTCTCACTTTTTTTCTATCTCTTTGGAGAATACATGTACCCTATAGCAAAAATCTCTCTCTCTAAAAAAAAAAAAAAAAAGAGAGAGAGAGAAAATTTAAAAGAGATGCTATCTGTGGCCACCTACAGACTGGTTCCAGCAGACCACCTGTGGGATGAGAAGGGAAGACCTCTGGGTCCCTCCTCATGGTGGCCAGCACAGTGCTACAAGGCAGTGACAGGGACCTGGGCTCAGATCTGGAGGCTGGTATACTTTCCCACAAGTTCAGGTGTCCCTGGGACAGCCATTATTTCTCAGAGAGACTCTTCTAGTATCTTCTCACACATTTAGAATGGACTCTGAAGAAAAATTGCAGAGAGCTTTTGGATTCTGTGGGAATGGCAGAACAGGACGGTCCCAGGTCAGCATGTGTGCTGTAAGGATGCGACTACGATAATCGTAGGCTGGGCTTACATTGGCCTTCTGTTTTATAGTACGGCTTCACCCCTGCGATCCTCAGAATAACCATGTGCAGCATTTTTACAAACGTAAGAAGCAGGGTTGTGAGTAGCCCAAGCTCACCTGACGGGGCAGTGGTGGAGGCTGACTTAGAACCGGGGCCTGATGCCTGCTCAAGGATGCCATGGCGCTTTCCCCGAGGACAGAACTACAGAAACACGCTCAGTCCTTCCCAGCAGAGGCCCGAGCAACACAAAAACTTAAGTCCCAAAGTGATCCCTTCTGGGTTTTGTTGTTCTTCTTTTTTATTTTTTTTTTTCCTTCCTATTTGACTTCAGGATTTATTATGGGGAGGACAGAACTACAGAAACACGCTCAGTCCTCCCCAGCAGAGGCCCGAGCAACACAAAAACTTAAGTCCCAAAGTGATCCCTTCTGGGTTTTGTTGTTCTTCTTTTTTATTTTTTTTTTTCCTTCCTATTTGACTTCAGGATTTATTATGGGGCTTTTTAACACAACAGGAGAAGAGGTTTCCATCACTAATTATGTTTTGCTCAGAGCTGGCTTTCACTCCCTGAGGGCTTGCTGGGTGGTAAGGGAGGTAGCCTGAGTCGAGGGAGAAAAGAATCAACCCGGGATTTTAAGCTTATCACAACAAGGCCACAGAGGAGAGGTGGTAAGAACCCAAAACACGAAGGAAATGATGGTGGTGATGGGGGGGCAGGAGGGGAGAGGAATAGACAAAAAGAAGAACAAACAGTAAAAAGAATGGATGAGGTGAATTTTTAAAGGTGTCAAGCAGATTTGTTCTCCCTGCTATTACTCACACGATTCCATGTGCATTTTAGATACACGGGAAGCTATAACTATGGGAGCTATGGCAACCAGCATCCTCCCCCGATGCAGAGCCAGTATCCGGCCCTCCCCCATGATGCAGCCATCTCCGGGCCACTCCACTACTCCCCTTACCACAGGAGCTCTGCACAGGTGAGTTGGCGGTCCTGCTTGCTTGCCCAGGCGTGGATATGTGTGCAGCCAAGTCCAGTCATGTAACACAGCTAATGAGCACCTTCTGTATACGGCGTGCCCAGCCTCTCTGTCCCCAGGGAGAGAAGAGTCATTAGTGTCATTTCTACCCTCCTGCGGCTGGCCCACGGTGGGTGCTCCATCAGCTTCTCGCTTAGCTTTCCCTCACGAGTCTCAGTGTTCAACGGATTTCCTCAGTTGCCTCTTCTCTGTGACCTCGCTTAGGTCAGGATCCAATCCATCGCATGCCTGTTGCCCTTCTCTGGGCAGCCAGCCCTCACACGCAGCCCTAGGTCTCTCCTCTCCTGGGTAGACTTTCGTGAGGTCCCACCAGGACACTCACACTGCAGCATCATTCTGTCTGGTCTCAGTCTCCCATGTCGGTTCCTTTTCCGGGCCTCCCCCACACACACACACACTTAATCTTAACCAGAAGAATCTTCCTGAATTGGACCCTTTTTCAGGTCCACCTTTGATCACCCACCTCCTTGGGCATGTCACTGCCAAACCAAGCTGGCCCTCCGTGGCCCATGGTGGATGGAAACGGTGGCTGCACCTGTAACACCACAGTGCTGGGCACTCTGCTTGTCTGAGACTCTTGTCTGTGTGTTGGCCCCAAACACAAATGGTGGCCAACCCCATTCAACTCCACATCCTAAATGGCTCTCAACCCCTGCTGTTCATGCCTCAGCTCAGGTTTTGATTATTCGAACCTAGATGATGACAGAAGCCTTCCTGGTGGTCTCTGTGTCTCTAAAATTCTGGTCTGCTCCCTACACCACAGCTAGAGGACTCTTCTGGGGAAAAACCCAATGAATGTGACACTTCTCCTCTTTGATGCAGCATCACTTTCAGGGTCAAGTTCGATTCTTTGGCATGTCCCTGAAGACTTGCTGCCTCTCTGACCTACCCCACTGCCTCTTTCTCAGCAGGCCAGCCCACGAGCAGTTGGCCGGCATGTGCTGCATTCCTCGGTGCCTTTGCAGACGTGGCTCCCTCTGGCTGGGAGGCTCTCCCCTAGCCTCGTCTGCTCGTTGTTCAGGACAAGCATCTTGCTGTCTGTGTGGTATCTCCTGACAGTACCCCTTCCTTCCTCTAGGACCTTGATGGCTGCCCCTTTCCGGGCCTGTCTCAGTGGTACTTCTCATACCCTGTATCACTTTTTTGCCCTAAAGTAGATTTGCTTCCTTCGGACCGCCACAGGAGCCCCCTAGCACCTGGAGGCAAAGGTTAAGTCTAGTATCTGTGGTCCCAGCACATGGCGCCTATCAAAAAAGCAGCCAACTTTCCCAAAAAGTTGCTGCGTGCCGGACTCTGCACCAAGCACATTCCATATCCTCTCGATAGCCCTGCCGAAGACGACATGAGCCTCAGAATAACTTGCCTGAGGATCTGAGTCAGGCAGTGTGGCCCCTGCCCAAGCTCTCACATACCACCCTGTGCTGCCTGTCATGCAGACATTCACTGTATACTGAGCAGATGAGTATGAGGGAGGCACCCTCAGCGTGAACACCACCACGGTGGCCCAACCCCCCACATCCATTCTGCAGGCACAGGAAGCCACAGTTCTGTTTGCACCAGGGAGCGGCAAGATTGGAGCTATGCCTAAGACAGGGAGCTCTCTGGGACCAGCAGTTAGCGTAATGGCTATATTGCTGGACTCCCACGTAGTTGACTGTGGTTCGTGTCCTGGACCCAGTGGCTTAAAACACGCCGGGTGCGTGTGCTTGCGTGCCCAAAGATCCCAAGAGGAGAGTGAAGGAGAAGGGATTGCGGCGTGGCCATCCCCCCGGGGGGTGATTTCTCGCTTTCTCTCTGTCTTTCTCTCTGTGTCTGGCGAGTGCACACGCCCTATAGCAAAAACCTCTAAAAAAAAAAAAAACAGAGAGCTCTCAAGTCCCCCATAGGATGGACTCGAAAGGGGCACTGTGGAGACAGGGCCGTGCGCCAAAGTGTTTGCAGCAGTCTAGGCAAGAGACAGCAGGACTGAAGCTGGGGGTGGAGGCTGCAGTCACTTGCCTCCGAGGGAGGACACGGAGAAGAGTGTGTGCACAAACACGGGCACTCTGGGCAAACAGGCGTCTGTTTTGATTTCCATCTGCAATACCAAGGGGAGCCCTGGTTTAATCCCCAGACAAGCCAAGAGGTTGATTCCACTGAATCATCACCTGGGGCATTCATTATTGGTCTCTGACTGCGTCACACAGAGGTGCCAGCTCCTTAGGTGCTGCCTCCCTCGGGAGTAGAGCCCGTGCCTCTCAGTGGGATCCGCCGAACAGCTCAGAAGTGCTGCTACAGCCTGGGTCACACGGGGCACCCTCCAAGCAGCTCGCCTGTTCTTTCATTCATTCATTCCTCAATGGTTGCTGGGTGCCTACTATGTGCAAGCACTGTCCTGAGCCTCTGGGAATGCAGCCGAGCAGACAGAAGCGTGCCTGCTTTGGGAGACCACATCACCAAGTCACAGCTCCCAGCATTATCTTCCCTCTTTCCTACTCCTGCCCGCTCAGGAAATTTCAGGAGCTGGCTTTCTGGGGTGATATTTTTAAAGCCATTGCTGTAAAGAGAGGCCAAGGTCTCTTCCAGGCCCTTGTAGTCCCCAAAGATAGTTCTGGGGCATCCGCTCTGGAAGCCACAACGTCTCCAGCTGAAATACTATCACGTGACAGCTGGTCTTAATAGATGGGCCTAAGGAATAAATGAAGGCCGGTGGAGGAGCCCTGAGAATCCAGTGAGAGGGTGTGAGAGGCCACAGGGTCTTTGGCCAGCCTCATCACCACCACGCCTTGTGACCCTTAGAAGCGGGCCTCTGAAGCCCCTCACCCCCAACATGCACACACACACACCTACACTTTATGATTTACGCTTTAGTCTCCATCTGTAAAGTAGGGTGGGGAAAAGTTAATTATATCACTTCTAGACCCAGGTTGATGGACAAGGTCGGTGTTCAAAATGCTCTCCTGGGGAAGGTACTGTTTCAAGGCAAAGTACCCTCTGTTTACTGTTTCATTAACATTTATACATCAAGCACTGTTCTAGGTACAGTGGATGCATGGATTCATTTAATCCCTGTAACAACCTCAAGAGGAAGGCATTTTCCCCCCAGTTTTTCTTTCTTTATTACTTTTTTTAAAGATTTATTTATTTGTTTATTCAATTCCATTTGCTGTTATTATTTTTCTATTTGATCAGAGAGAGACAGAGAGAGAGAGAAAGGGAAAGCGAGAAAGCAAGCCACCAGGTCCGGGACTTGAACCGTGGTGGGCCATAGGGGAATCCAGTGCCTAACCACCACGCCACCTGCCTCTTTCCCCCAGTTTTTAAAGATGAAGTGACAGCCTCAGAAGCTGACATGCCCCGTGTCATGCACCCATAAGCAGCAAAGCAGACCCAAGTCCATTCTCTGACTCTCAGCTCCAATCCCAAGCCAGCAACACTGAATACCACTGTATTTTAGAGGGTGGAAGGTAAATTCAAGAGGTTACTGATACTATTTTCAGTATGTTTCAAGTTAGCAAAGAGAAAAAGCACACACCCAAGATACCTTATTTCTTCCCTTTATTGGTTCCTTGGTTTAAAGCTGAGCATACAGGAGAAAATCCACTGCGGGGGTAATTCGTTTCAGCTTTCCGGAGCAGAGGTCAAGCTTTTCAGTTCTAGGTAATTGAATATCACACTTCACTAGGTCAGACTCACTAGGAAAAAGGTCAGTCTGAACTGAAGAAAAATCACAAATGTATGATATCGTTAAAGGACTGCAACTGGTTGTCAGAGTAAGAGTAACTGAAAGAAACTACTGCTAAAAAATAGCTGCTAGATTTGCCTTTAAAAACGAATATATACGTGAAGGGCAGTAACTGTATCACATCCCAGCATCCATATGCTCAAAATAATTTTTTTTTTTTTAGTTTTGTTACAGGACACATGAGGGAATGGGGGGGGGGGGGGCTTAGAAATTATTCCCTGGGGTATGGCCATGCTGCAACCCTTTCTCTTCTAATTTCTTTGGGGACTGGGGGCATGCATGCCCGTATGCCTGGCATGATTTTTAAGCTACCCAGTCTGGGAATCAGTGAGCCATGTGAGATCCAGTACCTCAACCGCCACGCTATCTACTGGCCTCTGTTCAAAATAATGTTTAGCCATTCGTTTCTGAAATATTGGGTCACTGGAAAAGTCATGACATATTTTTCTGGTTTTCTATGCAAAAATGCATCGCGACTTTTCCGATGACCCAATAGAACACACCTCTGTGCCCTTGTTTATACTTCTTATTTGCAGGACACATACTTTGCAGGGCTGGAATAAAATTCCCAGCCCTGCTTAAATTCTTATAATTTTTGTTTTTGTTTTTGAGAGATTTTTGCTACAGGGCACGTGCGCATACCATAGAGACAGAAAGTGGGACATCACCCCCCAGGGGTGATGGCCATGCTGCAATCCCTTCTCCTCCATTCTCCTCTCAGAATTTTGGGCATGCACTCACATACACACACCCAGTGTGAGTTTAAGCCGCCAGGTATGGGAATCGAACCATAGTCAACTACATGGGAATCCAGTGACATAACCATTATGTCATCTGCTGGTCCCAATTCTTATAACTTCTGAACTAGTCAGTTCAGAATGAATGAGGCTTCATAGTGTAAGGTTTGTATTATTTTAGAAAAACACCCTTTTGCAACTATGCTGTACTCATTTACATCAAAATAACTGAACCAGCGGGATGGTGTCTCCTGGCCCTTCCTGAGTTCTCCATTCCCATGTCCATCCAGAACGAAAAAACAAACTAGACCAAAACACAGGGATACAACATATTTCTGAGCCCCATTCAATTCATGTTCCTCACATTTCTACCTTGTCAGTGGTCACGAATATAAACTGGAGCCTTTGAGTTCAAAGCCATTTGACCAACCCAACTGGAGGGCTAGGAATATACTTACAGTGGACTTGAAAGCTGTTCC